GCCCAAAAGTAGAACAACCCTAATATGTCCATCAGCTAATGAATAGGTAAACAATGTCAGATAAATCCACATAAGGGAACATTATTCACTCATTGCAAGTAATGAAGTACCAATAAATGCTACAACATGGATGAATCAAGAAAATGGTTTCTTAAAGAAACCAGAGAGAAAAAGGTCACATATTGTATGACTCTATTTATGTGAAACATCCATAAAAGGCAAATCCATAGGATCACAAATAGATGAGTGATTACCAGAAAATTGAAAAGGGGGGAAATTAAAGCCAATTGCTAATAGGAATGGAATTTCTTATTAGAGAGACCAAAAGGTTCTATATCTACATAATGGTGATGGTTGTACAACAATGAATATACTAAAACCACTGTGTGTATACGCTGAAATGGAGAGTTTTGCATTGTGTGAAGTATATCACAATAAAATAAATTAATTGGCTTAAGTTTGCCATTTTGGCAGGGTTCTTAAAAAGTTTTAAAGAAAAACTCATTTACAGTAATTAAAATTTTTCCTTCTTCTACACTACCTTTTCCAAACTAGAATACTCAAAAATACTAAATTATGTCAGCAAAAAAATTTAACTATAGTTAAAGAGCCTCTAAAGTTTATTTACCTTAGATTATCATACTATCTGAAACCTTCACATTCACAGTAAGACTCAAGAACTCAGTTACCTGTTGTAGCAGAGGGGAAAATCTTCTTCAAGTAAATAGGACATTTAACACCCACAGAAATAGGTCTGTACCTATTCATAGTGTGCCACAGCATCATAAAGTACGGGCTATCTCAGTCTTTTTAGTTCATGAGATTTCTGAATAAACTAGGAAATGTCAAATGGCACTTAACTGATTGCCTTAATCATGAAGATAAAAATGTGGTCAAATGGGAGAGGAAGTGAAGATTCCCTAGAATTCTCAATTACAGAGGGAAATTTTCTTAAATGAAATGGGCCTTCCATAGCTTCAAGGGTGCTGATAAGTTTATTAAAATGTATATATGAATGAGGTACATACTTTGTGGGAAAGGCATTTCATTTCAGATAAAAGCAGTTAGTAAACACCAAATTTTAACCTATATCAATCACTGCCAATTTAGTAATTTTACTTAAGAATAAGGTAAATAAAAAAAAAAGAATAAGGTAAATAACCACTTTTAAGTGGAGAAAAAACATGTAAATGTCTTAGTGTATTTAAAAAATTATGATTCGTATCAATGAATTATGAAGATTGTGTACACTATATCTGACATAATTTTAGGAGTGCTAACCACATACAACTTCATCTTAATGAACAAACAGGATTTCTCCTTTGTTTCTAGATGTAAATCAATGTGTCTTAAAAGAAAAACCTCTTCCATCCTCTGATCAACCCTGATTTATCAAAATAGGTTCTGCCCAGAGCCAAAAGGTCTCCGCCTGCAATGCAGGAGACTGCAGGTAGACTCCTGGGTCGGGAAGATCCCCTGGGTTTCCCTTGTGACTCAGCTGGTAAAGAATCACCTGTAGTGCGGGAGACCTGGGTTATATCCCGGGGTTGGGAAGATCCCTTGGAGAAGGGAAAGGTTACCCACTCCAGTATTCTGGCCTGGAGAATTACACGGACTGTACAGTCCATGGGTTCCCAAAGAGTCGGACACGACTGAGAGACTTTCACTTTCACCAAAGCTGAAGTTTCCACAACAATGAACTGTGAAGTAACATAGGCCACATGAGGTCTCAGAGGCCACTGCTGCACTTCTAGTCATGTCTTGAGGGCACCAGGTTCTCAGGCAGCCCAAATTGTACAGGAAAAAATAAACATTGGAAATGTCACCCCACATCCACAGTCAATGCAGAAGGAAACAGCAACCCAGTCCAATATTCTTGCCAGGGAAATTGCATGGACAGAGAGCCTGGTGGGCTATGGTCCATGAGGTCGCCAGGAGTTGGACACAACTGAAGCGACTTCACACACACACCCACAGTCAAAAAAATTTCTTATTTTTCTGTCACTAGCTAAACTTATAAGCTCTACATTCCACTCTCCTACCTTTCCATCTAAGAATAAAGCTGCAGGAAATGAATTGATAATGAGTCTTGGCTCTGAAGTATTTAAGACATTTTACTCAAGTCAAGCTTGATCTTTAACACCACACAGAAAGAAAAAAATAGCGGGGGATACTTTTCATAAATAGCTCATCAATAAACTTTTATTAGTTGCCAACACAAAGACCTCTGACCTAAGTAAAATAAAGGTGAGTTAATGACAAGTTAACTATGCCCTGTGTTTCACTGACTTAATGTTACATAATTTTATAAACAGTTCACTGAGGTATTCAAATACATTGTTTCAAGAACTGTATTTGTTTCTCTTTTTAAAAAAGCACTTTAAATATTTCCTTGTAAGAACTGTTTCTTTTTCTTCTAGTGTGCTGTGCTTAGTCACTCAGTCATGCCTGACTCTCTGTGACCCCGTGGACTGCAGCCCACCAGGCTCCTCTGTCCATGGGATTCTCCAGGTAGGAATACTGGAGTGGGTCGCCATGCCCTCTTCCAGAGGATCTTCCCAACCCGCGGATCAAATCGAGGTCTCCTGCATCGCAAGTGGATTCTTTATCATCTGAGAAACCCGGGAAGCCCTTTTCTTCTAATAAAGATTATCAAGACACACTCCTCGTAGAGTCTCTGAACCTTCTCATAAATTCTTCATCAAGCCCCCTGTGCTTCACTTTGACGGTCAAATGATAATAAACCAAGTCTTATGAGCTACTATTTATCTGTAAAGTTATAAATTTAACAAAACAGGACTGGGAGATAAGACTTGAAAGAGACATACTCTGTCCTGTGGCTCTTGCACATAACTTTTGTTTTCATTTGCTACTTAATGCCACATGAGATGGTCCGCATTAATTTCCTCCTGTGGATACTTCTGAACACTAGAGTGACGATGGCAGCATCAAAGGTTAAAAGATAAGGTGAAAATCTCTTTTATGCAAAATATATTTTTCCTATTTTTTTAAAAATTAGAACACCTGGTGCCTTGCCACAATTGTGTATGAAAGAGTGTTGCTTGAGTGGAATAAATACACGAATATGACTAACATATTAAAAAGCATGTGTGCTCATTCATCAGGTCGTAACCAAAATCACTGCGGATGGTAATTGCAGCCATGAAATTAAAAGACGCTTACTCCTTGAAAGGAAAGTCATGACCAACTTAGACAGCATATTAAAAAGCAGAACATCACTTTGCCAGCAAAGGTCCATCTAGTCCAGGCTATGGTTTTTCCAGTGGTCATGTATGGATGTGAGAGTTGGACTATAAAGAAAGCTGAGTGCAGAAGAATTGATGCTTTTGAACTGTGGTGTTGGAGAAGACTCTTGAGAGTCCCTTGGACTGCAAGGAGATCCAACCAGTCCATCCTAAAGAAGATCAGTCCTGGGTGTTCACTGGAAGGACTGACGCTGAAGTTGAAACTCCAAAAGTTTGGCCACCTGATGCGAAGAGCTGACTCATTTGAAGAGACCCTGATGCTCCGAAAGATTGAGGGTGGGAGGAGAAGGGGACGACAGAGGATGAGGTGGGTGGATGGCATCACCAACTCAATGGACATGAGTTTGAGTAAACTCAGGGAGCTGGTGATGAACACGAAGGCCTGGCATGCTGCAATTCTTGGGGTCGCAGAGTCGGACATGACTGAGCAACTGAACTGAACTGAACTCTGCGACCCCATAGACTTCACCCACCAGTCTCCTCTGTCCATGGGATTTCCCAGACAATAATACTAGAGTGGGTTGCCATTTCCTACTGCAGAGGATCTTCCTGACCCAGGGATCAAACCTGTGTCTCCTGCTTGGCAGGTGGATTCTTTACCACTGAAGCACCAGGAAAGCCACATATTAAAAAGGAACTATAGCAAATATATCCAAAATGTGAATGAACATTGAACTAATCTAAGGTTGGGAAGCACTTTTTTTTTTTTAAATATATGAGTAGGTCACATTGTTTTAGCTAAACTTTTAAAGAATAAGAAATATATTAAGATATTATGTTGTAGAAATTTGGCAAGATGGGGGGAAAGCATGTAATTAGTTTGTACTGAATATTGTTTCAACCATCATTCAATAAAATATTATAAAGCTCTATACTGTGAGTGAGGCATGGCTAGAATAAAAAGCTTGATAACTTAGTTTTATAGGTAATGAAGGAAAAAATACTTTATATTTTTATATATAAATGGGATAAGAATATTTTTTTATCTTGCTTGGCTATAGCTGCTATTACTAGGAGTAGTGAATATTCTATACATTACCATGATGTGTCAAGCCCAAATTTCAAATGGACTTTAATTCTCTAATTAAAACGTTCTTAAAAATATGAACACATATAAACTGATACATTTAAAAAAATACATATATAATAATCCCTATTATAAAAATGTTTCACTGTAAGAGACTTATATTTATAGTTTTCTTCAAATAATGCTACAAAGAACATAAAACACTGTAAGTACTTATATGTAGTACAGAAAGTCTACAATTCAAATTTATTCTTTTCCTCCCTATATCACTGTTAATACACACAGATTCACATGCACACATAAAGTTAAATTATCTACTTACCTTTCTATTGATAAATAGTAATTTACATGGTATACATATATCTGGAGAAGGCAATGGCAACCCACTCCAGTGCTCTTGCCTGGAGAATCCCATGGATGGAGGAGCCTGGTAGGCTGCAGTCCATGGGATCACAAAGAGTCGGACACGACTGAGCGACTTCACTTTCACCTTTCACTTTCATGCATTGGAGAAGGAAATGGCAACCCACTCCAGTGTTCTTGCCTGGAGAATCCCAGGGACGGGGGAGCCTGGTGGGCTGCCATCTATGGGGTCGCACAGAGTCAGACACGACTGAAGAGACTTAGCAGCAGCAGCAGCACTGATACATCAGAAAAAAGCTAGACAGTGACTATTTTCAGTAGTGTATAGAGTTCATCGTACTTACTGAAGAGCCCAGTGCAGATTTTGGAGACCTAATGATTCCAGCAATTGAGTGACGAATAGACTCAAATCGGGACAGCCTCTCCTTCCTTTCCTGGAGAGATGCAGAAGGAAACCGTCAGCAGTAATAAACTATCGGGTACGTACACAGCTATGCTAGGCAATCAGGCATTTATCCACAGCTTAAGCCCATTCACTCTGTCTTGCAAGTAAATAAAATGCAAGTCTCCTAACATTAGAAGTGATAAGTAATCAAATGCACATGAACCCTGCAGCATTTTAGTTGCCTGTTCACTCAATAAATTATCATGATTTGGGGAAAAAATAAGAAATAGGAATTCATGAGATAAGAGAAAACAAGAAATGCAAAGAAAACCCACAGAAACACAGGCATTAGCACACAGGGGAAGAAAAAAAAAGACACAAACTAGAGGGAATCAGTCTAACACAGAAAATTTCTGACAGTTGTGAGGGATTTTCAAGGAAAAAACAGGAGTGGAGGGGGCAGGAAGAGAGTTGTACAGAACGTGTTTCTCAACAGTGAATTTCACTGGAGCAGCGTGGAGGGTTCCCAGAGACTGACGTGATGATGAGGACAGTGGCGACAGAACAGGAGAAGGTAAACCAAGCAGGCAGGGGCAGCAGCTCCACTGCTAAGGGGAGCACATCCAGGACACTACTAGCTACGGGACGCATTTCTGCGGATCACATACCACAACGGAAGGAAACTCTTCCTTAAAATTCCAAATCCTTAGGTCCGTTCTACAAACACAGGTGATGGGAGAGGTTAGGAAAGAAGAGAAGGAGGGAAAACAAAACTGAGAGCCTGGAGGTAAGAAGAAAGACAGCAAAGCATGTGGGAGGGTAATAAATGCACTGATTAACGTTTCAATAATGACTACAGTTCAACTACTGGCAGCAAAGAACAAGGTATCATAGTGCCAAGTTCTGTATTTCCACGTCTTCCAACAGCAGTGATGCTCGACTTTACTCGTCAGTGGAAAAATAACTAGAGCAGGCCACAAATAACATCTTCTGTTTCCTCTCATAGATAAACAGTTTCTTGCCACATCAGTAAACAAAGCATTCGCCAAAGCATCGCGCCATCAGCCCCTGCAGCTGCTTCAACTGCTCACCCTGAGAGGATTCAGGATGGAGAAGAAAATGGACACTGGCCCTCGATACTTAAGGAGAACATCAAAGGGACGATTTTAGTGAGCCAGACTCCTGCATCTTCCCACACGCAGAAGAGTACTACATTCCTTAACTTGAGACGTCTGGTTTACTTCAATCAGCAGTGATCTAATGATGTTCCAACTACCTGGCTGGTTGCAAATTCCCATCTGTTCTCCTCCCTCACCTCTTTGGCGCAATCTCTTGAGACCTATCTGAGAGGCTGTCTCTGGGCTTAAGTCTTCAACAAGCCCATCAATAAAACATAATTCCCAAGCTGTAGGTCATGTGATATTGTTGTTGTTTTTTTTCAATTGACACTTTGTCTCCAATACCTAGAGTACAGTGTGTCTCTTTATATAGTAAATATTTTTCATCATATGCTACCTGGTAAACATCATATTTCCTGGAATTTAACCTTTGTCTCTCCACTTGCTTATTGACAGGTTATTTGCTGTCATTCTACGAGTTGTGGTGCTATTAGTTTTTATTATTCTACAAACATAAGCCTACTAATACTTTAAAAGAATCTTAGGAGATCAATTGAGTCAATGCTCTTAAAATATTAAGCAGAGTAGAAACCCAATGTAGGAGTACTATGAGAACAGAACCGAAAATTACACGAGAGGTTATGCAGAAAGCAGAAACTTCAATGGAGAGATTAGAAAAGTATTAGAAAGTATTTTATTTGCATATGTTTATAGCAATATTCTCTGTCATGGTAAAAATAACTCTCCTCAAGCTACATCTTGGGTATCAAACGCTACAAAAGTAAAGAGAACAATTTCTCCCCAAGTCCCTTAATAATACTAAAGAGAAACATTTTCTTAAAAAAGCTATTACTAACTAGGTAAGACTAGTAGATAGGTCCAGGTGTCGAATAAAAAAATCACTTCTCTTATATCAAGTTACAAAGCATAATACAGTCTGTATTCAAAGGAATATGATCAATGAAAGCACCCTTTCATTTAAAAACACTTTTCAAATAATGTGATCTTAAAAAATGTATTATTAGAAGCAATAAAAAGACTAAGTTTTATACAGGAATAATCAAATGAGAATAGAGTTTATAAAACATTTTAATCAGTGTCAGCTCACTTGGTGCCCAGATTTCCACAAATAAAACGTGAAATTCTTTTACCAAAAGAATTTCTGGTCAATGTAGCATTACATATCAACTTTAAATAATCCACCTAACAATACATCAGATTATGCTGATTATTGTATCAATGAATTAAATGGCTACTTTAACAATTAAAATTAAAAAGTTTCTCTTCAATTACCATAGACAAAGCATCTAATGTTGCCTGTAGGCCTGCCAAGGCTGGTGATGATTTAACAAGGTAAAGAGATTTCTCCAAGTAAATAGAGATCAATTCTGGCTAAAAGTCCCTCAGAGTGGAGACAGCTGTGGGCCAGTGAAGGGGGGAAAGGAGAGGCAATGTGATGAAGTAATATATGATGTTATGAAATCGTATTATGATGAGTAGCCTATAAAAATTCTATAGTACAGCTATAAAGCTATCTTGAAAGAATAGATGCAGTATCAGTTTCACATCTCATTTAAGAAGAGCTTTTCATTACATTAAAATTAAAGCAGAGTTTCTCAATATCTCTCAATATGTATACATATATATAATAACTAAGAGACTTCCATAATAATTAAAAGCCTATCTATGATAAATCTTTCAAAATGTTCTGAAAGAAATAATATCTTAATTATAGTTCAAGTAAAACCAAACCTATCCAGTTTCCAAATCACTCTTCACTGACACTCTCAAATTATAGTAAAATAGGCTCTCAAGTTACCTTCATCTCCTGTCCAAAGGCAAAGATATAAAAGGCAAGTATTGAGGTTTTGCTAACCGGAGTGACCGACAAAAATAACAGTTCTTCCAAATGACAGTCTATATAGATGCCAAAGTAAATTACAAATTAAAAACTTGAACTAACAAGCATGTAACAGGTCTCAAAGCAAGGCTCTTAAAGGAGGCACTGAGGTAGAAGGAATAAGATTCTTGATATCAGAAGAGGAAAAGAGTGTAAATTTGGGCAAACCACTTAACTACTCTGGCTGTTAGGTTTCCATATCAGCACACAGGAGAACACCACACTAGACAAAAATTTTCATCTCGAAAATTCTGTGACCATTGCTTAACTCCCCAGTCATCTGCACTGCACTGATCACTAAGGATGCTCTCACGAAGAGTTCCACTGTATCAGCCTGGCAACCAGAGTTACTCCCCTTGGGGGACTCAGTCACACCCTGCCTGAGTTGCCCTCAGAACTTGTCCCCAGACAGGAAGGGGGAAGAACTACGGAGAGAGGTGACTCCAGAACACTTCTCGGTTAATAACAGCTCATTGAGGCAGTAACCATGTATTATTTCTCATAGACTTCTGTAAATAAACTCAATCAAATAACATTCTTAGAAGGAACAATGAAAGTGATTATTTGTCCCTGTAGGAACAGTCAGATGTTTATTCAAATCAGCAGGCAGTAAGATTCAAGAAAAAGATAATATTCACAATATTCACTCTCAACCTCCAGGCTGCGTGCCAAGTATCTTTGGGACTTCTTATGCAAAGCAACCATGAAATTTGGAGTGATTTTGTGAGGAATAGCTGCAGGGAAATTACAATGCTAGAGAAGATTGTCTCTCGAAAAAAAATTCTAAACTGTTGATAACTACATAATCTAAATGAAACACTGCAAATATCAATAAGTCCTTCATAAAAGGAATGCATTTATAAATAAACAAATACCTTAGGCTTTTGCAGATGTTGATCTGCTGGAGAGAATGAAGGATACACCGTTTCTACTCCCATCGCAGTACAGAATTTAAGCATTAAAACAGTTTCTAAATGATTTATTCTAGCAATTGGGTTCTTACAGAAGACAAATCATTTTAGAAGTATTCACTGCCTGGGAAACTCGTTTGTCACACTGTTTTTCTTGGATGCTTGCATATTAAGAATATTTATTAAGGGAAAGACAGTGAAAGTGAAAGTCGCTCAGTCGTGTCCAACTCTTTGCGACCCCATGGACTACACAGTCTATGGATTTCTCCAGGCCAGATTACTGGAGTGGGTGGCCTTTCCCTTCTCCCGGGGACCTTCCTAACCCAGGGATCAAACCCAGGTCTTCCATATTGCAGGCGGATTCTTTATCAGCTGAGCCACCAAGAAGGCCCAAGGATACTGGAGTGGGCAGCCTGTCCCTTCTCCAGGGGATCTTTCCAACCCAGGGATCAAACACAGGTCTCCCGCATTGCAGGTGGATTCTTTTCCAGCTGAGCCACAAGGGAAACCCCCCCAAAAAGAAAGACAACCCCCTTGCTAAGTCAAGCATTTTCACATTTTGAAATAATGAAATAGGAAACTAAATGCACAAAAGGAACTCTTGAATGATTAAGATTTTGTCTTAAAATAACAATGCTAAAGAAATTCATGGTATAACAGAATGGAGTGCAATGAAACCTAGGTTGTAAAACTCCCTATCATACTGCCTGCTTTCCTGACTCTGTATCTTCTTAAATAAGATGACTTCTTCTCTAGGGAGACAAATCCCAAGCATCAGGCTATAATCAGCTCCCTTCCTGTTCAATATCTAAACATAATTCGTGTCCCATGGGGCTTTTCTCAAATGTAGGAACAAATATGTATTATTCTTCCTTTTATAAAGTATCCAGAAGTGCCAGATGCACACAAAGCAGTTTCCTTTGAGGACCTCACTGACTCAATTTAAGGACTGATAGATTTTGCTCAGTAAGCAACCGTACATTTCAGTAATTTAAAAAAGTACACTATTATGAATTAAATTATCAAGACATCTTACCTGAAATTCTGCTATTAAAATAATTAAGGGACATAATAATAGGACCATACATTTATCCCCTTTGCTTAAACTAATACATTATAA